CCTCTGAACCAGGTGTCTCTGTTTCTGAATCACTGTCTGACTTACGGTTTCCTTTGCTTGAACCTGCTAAATCATCAAACATCACGTTGACTGATTCAACTACAGCACATGATCTTTTGTTGAATATTCTGTACACCATACTACTTTTAGAGTATCCAAGAAACATGCCTTCATCACTCTTGGAATCGAATTTTCCTAGATAGTCTTTGTCGTTCAGAATGAAACATCTGCAACCAAACACATGAAAATAACTCAAGTTTGGTGTTTTGCCCTTCCATAGCTCATATGGTGTCTTGGAGGTTTCTCTTCTGACATATTCACGATTTAATATGTAGCATGCCGTGTTCAAAGCTTCAGCCTAAAATCTCTTTGGTACTTGATTTCCATGCATCATAGCTCGTGCCATCTCTTGCAATGTCCGATTCTTTCTTTCTACAACACCGTTTTGTTGTGGAGTTCTAGGAGCTGAGAATTGATGCACTATACCATGACTTTCACAAAATTCCTTCATTGACTCATTCTGAAATTCTCCTCCATGATCACTTCTTATCTTCTTAATAGATCCTTTTTCATTGATGAGTTGAAGTGCTAGAATCATGAAGCTGTTCACAGTCTCTGACTTTTCTTGAATGAACCGAACCCATGTGTATCGTGAGTAGTCATCAACTAACACAAATACGTACTTCTTTCCTGACAGGCTTTCTACTTGCATCGGCCCTATTAGATCCATATGAATAAGATCTAGAACAACTTTAGACTGCACATCTGGAACCTTTTTGTGCTGAATTTTAACTTGCTTTCCTTGATTGCATGGTCCACATATCATCTTGTCTTCACCTTTGAGTTGAGGTACTCCTCGGATGATCTCCTTGTTCACAAGAGTAGTTAAATTCCTGATATTGATGTGCCCTAGCCTTTGATGCCACAAGTTCAGGTTGTCTCTTGCACTAAAACACTTCTCAGTATTTTTCTCCCACATGTAACAGTTGCTTCCTGATCTTATCCCATGCAATTTAGTCTTTCCATCTTCATCCATGGCCTTACAGTCAATTTTTGTGAATAGAACTGACATTCCTTCATCACATAGTTGACTTATACTGATCAAGTTTGCCTTCAGCCCTTGTACAAGATACACATTATCGAGTTTTGGCAATTGATCACTACATGTTTTACCTTTGCCCTGTATGATTCCTTTTCTTCCATCACCAAAGGTAACATTGCCACCTCTCAGTTTTTTTATATCTTCCAGGTTTACCTGTGATCCTGTCATATGTCGAGAACAGCCACTATCAAAATACCAAGGTAAGACTTCTTCTTATTCTTCTGTTATCATGGCCATGTTGCATCGAAATCCTAGGTCTGAGGTAGACACACGTTTGGGCTGATATAGATCAGATTTTTTAATCCAAATTTGACGTTTGAACCCATTCCAAAAGTACTTCCCATGATTCTTTAGTCTTCAAATTTTTTCCCAGTACTTGTAGCAGTATGCCTTATAGTGTCCTAACTTTCCACAAAAGAAGCATCCTGCATATTTGGTATTATTAATGTTGACTGCTTCAGTTTTCACCTGATCTACTCCAGCCGATACAAACTTGGTTGTGGATGTGCTCAAACTTTTTGCTCCAGTAAAGCCAAGTCCTTGATGTGTCTTCTCAGTTCTTCCATAGCTCAGAATTTTATCGAGCTGCTTAGTTCCTGCAAACATGTGTATCTTTCTGTACTGTTGGTCTAGTTCGGCCTGTAATTCAGATTTTGCCTTCTTTTCTGCAGTTAGTTGAGTTTCAAGATCATCAGCTTTAGCAGATAACAACAATTTCTCTTTTGTCATTAGTACACAATCTTTGGCAATCTTCTTTTCATCTTCCAACTCATTCTGCAGTTTTAGCACTAGAGCCTCTAGGCGCATTTTTTCTTTTAGCAAATTCTGATTTTCTTTTCCCATATGGACAAGAGTATCACGTACTTCTTTGTAGTTCTGAACTATATCAACTTCTTCTTCATTCTCTGAGTCAGTCACTTCTTCTCCATCCTCAAATTCTGTGATTCCAATCATAGCAACAAGATTTAGGATCTCTTCTTCGTCGCTATCTGATTCTTCTTCCATGCTTATCATAGATTTCTCTTTGCGATTCACACAATTGTCTTGAGTATGACCAACTCCCTTGCATAGAACACACTTAGCCTCCCGAAGCTTGATGGTTGGACATTCTCGAGCAAAATGTCCAATTCCCTTACACTCATGACACTGCATCTCAGACTTCTTATATTCTTTGGTTTCTTCAGAATATCTTCTGAAGTTTGTTCGTTTTTGTCCTGATCCTTGACCTTGTTCATATTTCTTCAGAGCACGATCAAACCTTCTAACCAGAAGTCCAACTGGATCTTCATCCTCTGTCTGAGTCAGGTCTTCCTTAGCAGCTAGAGCAATTCCTTTTGTTTTCTTTACCCCTCCTAGTTCCAATTCATGTGCTTGCAACATCCCAACAACTTCTGCAAAACTGAGATCCTCTGTCTTATGTGAAACTGTTAGAGCAGTTTTGTATGCCATGAATCTAGCAGGTAAACATCTTAGGAATTTTCTTCACCAACTTCTGATCTTTGTATTTCTTTCCAAGTGTTACTGCTTCTTGTGCTAGAGTGCTCAATTTTGAAGTAAAGTCTGAGATCGACTCATGTTCTTCCATCTTGAGATTTTCAAACCGTGAAGCTAACATGTCTTTTCTTGAATTTTGAACTTTAGAAGTTCCTTCATAGTGTGCTTGTAAGAGATCCCATGCTTCCTTCGCTGTCTCACATCCTTGTATTAATTCAAACTGCTTTCTTCCAACACTACAGTGTATTGCTGTGAGAGCTCTTGAATTATACTTGGATTTTTTCTGTTCTTCATCAGTCCAATCACTTTCTGGTTTTGGTATCCTATCTCCTTCGCTATTGATGATAGTCGGTTCGACCCACTTTTCCAGAACAACCTTCCACGCCAGACGGTCGATACCTCCAATAATCGATTTGATTCTGGATTTCCAAAAACCATAGTTACCGTCATCCAATATAACCTTGTTACTATTGACTAAATCTCCGTAACTCTCCATTGTGTCCTCAAGATCTCACATGTAGTATATTGAACAGGTGTTGCTCTGATACCAATTGTAAAAGCAAGAGTCTTACGGATTGAACTAGATCAGAATAGTAAAAACTGGGTTTCTCAAAACGCTATCTTTGATATATAGAAATTCTGTTTACAATGGGTTTTTCCCTAAACAAATTCCTAATCTCTCAAAGACCCTCTTTCTAAGATCACACACTTTGATCTTAAAATCACTTCAAAGAAACCCTATGCACTCGATAAGCTCTCAACTCTCTTTTCTCTCAAGTTAAAGCTTATTGCAAGAATCTCTTTCTCTTAATTGTGCCAAACTTTCTTCAAGCCTTGGCTCCCTATTTATAGAACTAGGACATCTCCATACAACAGGAAATTCCTATTCCACTTCTAAATAGGCTTTAGGATATTTTCCTTTTTCTTTATGAATTAGGAAATTATCCAACTCTTCTAATTTACTTTTATTCTTATAAAAGTAAAGTCTTCACGCTTCCAGATGCTTCTAGACACTTCTTCTTTGTCTTGTGCCCAAGCCAAACCGCCTTTCTTCTCTTTCCTTATTTGTTGTTTCTTCTATCGTTGAGTCTTCTGAACTAGTCACTGCATTAGTACACTCTGTTGTTCAGACTGCATCTTCATTATGTACCTAGCACAAATAGAAAATGACAAATCTCCTTGACCTACCACATCATCTTGCAATTTTCATTGTCACACTTCTTGCTAAATCTGGTTTCCAAAAGTTAGCACCTCTCATTGCATCTGGTTCAGAAGGATGTGCTCTTGCTTTTAATGAGTTGGTATTGAGGGAAGCGTCTCTTCAAATCATCGAAGAGCAGCCAAGAGTGATAAAAACAAATTCAATATTTCGTCCATTTTTTGTAAGGACCATAAAAGCCAGGAACCCTACATCAATGTACCTAGAGGGCGTTAGAGACGTTGCAAAATACGGGGACTACAGAGATGCCATTCCCATGTTTGCTTACAAGTGGAGTAACCTATTCCGAAAGGAGAAGCTCTCGATGGCAATGAGTTTCATGCTCACACTTTTGGTGTTATGTGTGCATGAGACGGATGAGGGGATTGCTTTAATGACGGAGTTCCGTAATTGTTTAGAAGAAGAAGACGAAGGAGATGTTGTCGCCCAACGAGTGTTCTATGATTTCATACGGTTGAGTTCTCAATCCACAGTTGAAGGGCGTTCTATGATTGCTAAATTTAGGAGAATGATTCCTACCATAGAGTATGATGTATGCGAGGAATGCACTGAGGTAAAATGTCCCGCTTGCTACACATTTTGGCGTTGTAAGAGGTTTAAGCAATTATTCGATATCCCATGACAAACGTCCTTCCATAATTAACGGTAAGTTCTCCATTGAAATCGTCCAACTTATTATGTCTATGGACGCCGTTTTAATTGTAGCTCTATCTATGTTGCCCAGTTTAGTTTGTCTTTCGAAATTATGATATTCTGCTTCCCATTCCAAAGCTTTTTAAGTAAATGCAACTATTTATATCTGAATATTGGTAATTCTTTATATGTCTTTTTCGACAAAATGACGAATCGCATTTGACGATGGACAACCTCTACTTAGGTAATGTATCATGGCCTATAGTAGGTACATACGATACGGATATCTTATAAATCCCAAATATCAACGTCTAATAAGTGGCTATTAAACTAGTCCACATCCGCCGAAAGTCCACATCCGCACAAAAAAACAACATTTCGTCAACCTAGTGACTATTAAAATAGTCCACAACCGGAAATAAAACATTACAACATATATGTTGTCCATATCCGCGCCAAAAAATCACATCTCATCAGCTCCACACTCAGATAGAATTTTTACATGTTGCCTTGTTGTGTCCTGTTCCACCACAGCGGCTACATTTGTGAGTTCTAGTCATCTTCTTCTTTTTTTTGGTTTCGTTTCCCCTAAAGTCACAAACTCATTATAGTCAAACAAAAAAACTGGGAAAAAGATAGAATGTTAAAGATAGAATGTGGACAAATTAATACGACACTTACATTTCCTTCTCCTTTTGATGGAATCCTCTTTTTCTTTGGTCTCCCTCCAGGACATTTTGTTTTGGGAGGTCCAATATCTTTTTCCCTTATATCTTCAGGTACGTTTACGTCCTCTTCGCGCGATATAGGCTGAATTAGTTGGTCATATTTTTTCTGCCAAACATCTACAAAGTAACACCAGCCCAGCAGTGAATAATGATCGAGCTTCCTCACGCCCACAGCAGCCAAAGCGTGGCAGCATGGAATCATCAACACATCAAACGCCCGACAGCTACATGTTTTGTTCTCCAAGTCGACTTCAAATATATATTCCTTACTATCATTCACTTGATAAACCCAGTCACTAGCAGACAAAACAGCACAACCAACTGCATCTTCGAGATTATCGAGTAATATAAGTTCCACCTCTGGCGTACATCTTGTTTTTGTTTTCCCCGAATGTTTACGACGCAAATAAAACCAACGCATCAACATTGCCCTTATAAACTCCCCCATAGCTACTATTGGATAATCTACTGCTTTCAACATTGCAGCATTCAAGGACTCCGAAATATTGCTGCTCATTAGATTGTATCTTCTTTTCGGACAGTGATAAAGCGTCCAATGTGGTAGACCAATATCTTCCAGATATTTAACACATTGCTGTTTACGACTTTGAACTTCCTTACACCAATAGTTGAAGTCACGTTCAGTAAACGCCCTCGCTGCATTTGAAACCATGCCTGCTAGCCGTTCGCATTGAAAATTAGATTTCACGTTTCTATGCAAATGTACAACACAAGCGCCATGGTGAGCCAATGGATAAACCTTGCTAAGCGCTGCGTTTATTGCCGCATGTCGGTCTGACAAAAACACAAGATCTTCCTCGTGTTTAACAAATTCCGAGAGTTTCTCAAGAAACCAAACCCAGCTATTAATATTCTCATTGTCCACGACCCCAAACGCTAGTGGATATACTTGCATATTTCCATCTTGTCCACTGGCGGCAACTAAACAGCCTTGGCATCTCCCCTTCATCTGTGTCCCATCTATCACAACTACTTTTCGTAGGTATGGGTACCCAGCTATAGATGCCCCTAAAGCGAAAAAAAAAACTTGAATAGATCCTCTCCTTTCTTGTTTTTCTCCGTGTGGACATCCGTAATTGTCCCCGGATTTGTTCTCTTCAAAAGATGTAAATAAGTTGACAAATACCGGTAACTACCTTCCTCACTTCCTCGTCGCTCACAAATAGCCGACTCCTTAGCATTCCATGCCTTAATGTAGGAAACAGTCACATTGAGCTCCGCTAAAACCATTTCGGGTAACTCACATGCTCGTGGTCCCTTTTTCCCATGAGAGTATTTAGACTTTATCAATGAGGCTATGACTGGGGCAGTTGCGTTTTTTCCGAACTAGGACCTGAATGAGACATCACAACTATGCTTCAGTTGGACCTTTTTTATTTCAACATTCTTCGAATCTTTGTGGTTCTTCACAACCTATAATGAAATATCCTCTCCATGGCATACAATGACAAAGCATTTCGTAGTTCCAACATGCTTTTAAACACTCTACCAACATATATTGCATCCTCTGCCCTCTTCAAGTCCATGTTAGCTACCTCGCTATTAGACCCTTGAACATTATCTCTACACGGTTCCGCGTCCACTAAAATAGCATCATTTTGCCCAAAAACCATTGCTTGATGAACGTCATTTACCATGATGTCAGCTCTCCCAAAGTTGCCTTCTCGTGGACTTTCATTCGCAATGTCCATAGGTCTACTTGATGGACCAACATTTCCTGATGGACCAGTCGATGTTTCTACAGATCTCATGACAATAAATGGATCCCAATCGTTAGGATATTCTTTGTTGATCAACTCACTTATACCATCATAATCGTAATCATCATTGTCATAATCACCCTCTTCAAACCCGGTATTTTCATGTCCATCTCCGCTATTTTCAGGCCCATCTATACCGTCACCAACGAACGCCTCCATTGTTCTTCTGTTCACGTCTATTACATCTTCGTTTAGGTCCATCGTAGCAATCTCGTCCATACAAGCGCTGTCCATTGCCTTTGTTTTTTCGCGACTGAATTCGTAAGATGGTCAGTGTGTTTCCTTTTGGAACCAGCATTATCCGAACGTTTCATCTTATGTGCAGCTTCCAGCTCTTCAACTTGGGCAATAAGAAAATCATCATCTACACTGCTCCGAACTTCTTTTCCGCTATTACCACTTCCGGCGGCCAAATCTCCCTTAACCGTCTCAAACGTACAAAATATGTTTAACTGGTTGTTCTCCCTCCGTTTCCTTTTAAACTGACCAAACGATACATCGCAACCGATGTAAATGGGCGGCATATGGCGTTGCGTGAACACCTCGGTCTCTCCAGCATACCAAAAACTTAGGCGTGGACGTTTTGTTTTGTTGTCCACCCCGTACACATTGACAACTGCAGCCAGAAACTCGTCGTAAGTCATGCCATCATGCCGACAAAAAAAAAAAAAAAGTCATGCCATCATAGAATCCTACACATCTGCCGAACTCTTTTGGATACCCAGAAAATTCCCACCTCCCAGATTCAACAGTTTTCCAAACTCCGCCTAACACCAAAATTGTGTCGTCCATCCCTTCCTGGTCCACAAATAACCTACGAAGTAAAAAATACAAATTCCATTAATTGCAACCAAACCGGATATACAGACGGCCAGTCATGCCTGCACTGCAATAAATTCAGGCTGTTGGTGTAAGAAATAATAAATTCAGGGAGATTTCTCCCGCATCAATGAATGCATGTTTACTTACCTTAACTATATTCAGGTCCACCGTCTTCAATATCTGTCCACGAATTGGTTTACGTTTAAAGCAAAACAAACAAAATCAGCAAGAACATCTTTATTTTTCAATTACTTCTCTTACGGATATCTGTCTCTTTCTCTCCAAAAAGTTCGTACAGCGTTTTATTTTGTTTTTATTAAGTTTCTAACCGCAGATGTTTACATACTTACATAGTGAAAAGGTTTGTCCACCATAAATGCACATGTACGATATTATCTAATCAGCCGAAGATTGTGTCAGTAACTTTCCATCATATTTTTATTTTTAGCGCTTTTGTCAGCTCGCCCAGGAATTGTTTTCAGGGATATTTTAGTCTATTCAACTACACAAAATGGTATTTGGTGCAATGTTTTCAAATCGTGGTAGTTTGGAAAACATAAAGTTGGAATCGTGGTACTATTGAAAAAATTCCCCAAAATCTTCTTCTTCTTCTTCTTCTTCTTCCTCTCTCTCTCTCTCTCTCTCTCTCTCTCTCTCTCTCTCTCTCTCTCTCTCTCTCTCTCTCTCTCTCTCTCTCTCTCTCTCTCTCTCCCCCTCTCTCTCCCTCTCCTTCTCTTTGTGCCATCTAAGAAAATTTAGACAAAAGCCGATGTCAATAACCATTTCAACAAAGATGTGATCTAAAGTAGGTGAAATCTTAAGATCCTATGAATTTTGATAAGAGGTTTCATAATTTGATTGGTATTTTAATGATTGATTGTTATCTTTTGAAATTTTTAATCTTAAATTTGATTCGATTAGAGAAAATTTTGAGTTTTTGGGTTCTATGATTAATCGATTTGGATTCTTGGGTTTTACTAAATTATATTCTTATTTGAGATTATATGTACTTAATTGTGATATTTTGGTACTAAGTGTTGAAATTTATAAGCTTTTGTGGACAAGATTATTTACAAATTTCAAGGTTTATATGGTTTGTTTAAGTTTTGTTTTGATTTTCGTGGATTGGGGTTGTTTCTTCTTGACAGTCGACGAGTTAAAGTCGTTTTCAATAGAGATCTACAGTTCCACCTTCAATGAATCCATCACAACCTTCATTAGAAAACTTTGTGTGAGTTATTTGTTGTTTAGGTATCCATGGATTTTTTTCTAGTTCATCAACTACTTGTGGTGAAGTATAACCGAACATATTATTATGGATACAACCTACCATTAACTACTTAATTAGATTGTAGACAATGTTTTATGGTCTTCGTAACTAAACGATCAATCAAATTATATAATCAGTAATTTAAAATTTGAAATCTTTATGGACTAATTATCGTGTAACACAACTAAGTCGAATGGCAATCACAAGATACTATGACATGTTATGGATTGTAGCATAAAAACACATAACATAACTTAGTCAGATAACAATTATAAGTACCTCAAGAGAAAAGATAACCACATAGTATATGTTATGTGGACAACCATACTTTTCGTTTCTAATTTAGTTTTGTATTATCAATTTTTTCTAATGGTTCTTTTGGCTTTTGTAGATCAGTATCCATTGCACATCATCCACATGATCAGATCCATAACAACCATTCAACCTTTGAAAATCTCGTTTAGTTCTCAAAGATGTGTCTGTGATTGATGCTTGTTCCAAGGTCCTTTCTGTTTGCAAAACAATTCTATCATTACAAATGATGAGTTCAGAACGTGGGGAAGATTTGTGCTTCAGAATTGGTGCAAACAAGGAGGAGCTTGGAAACAAAGAGAAATTGAGATGGTGAAATAGAATTGAAGCAAAAGGCGACAAATCTAAAGATTTGTTTAGGTAAGCTCCAGCTTCTCTGCCCCAATCTTGTAAGAGTAGATGGATATTGAACTAGAGGGAACATGTTTGACTAGAGAGTATGTTAATGATGATGATGAAGGAGAAACTAATGGGAGTTTGATCATGTTAGTTGGGATTGAGATCTTACGAGTTTTATTTTGCAAAAAGAGAAAAAAAAACAATCGATCAAAGATAGAGAAAGGGGAAAAGATAAGAAGAAGAAGAAGAAAGGGACGACAATTGTTTTTTGTGGTTTTTAGTTTGTTTCGAAAGAAGTTAATGAGGGCAAAATAGTCACAAAATATTGAATAGTAGCCCAAGCCTACAAAAAAGGGTGAATTACTTATTGACACACTTTGAAGGGTAGCCTTTACAAAAAACACACTTTCCATTTCATGGTGTACTATGGCCACTGTTTGGGCCAAAAAAAGACATAATTGGCCTAATAAAGTAAACATCATCTCTCCTCCGTTTCTTTTCTCTCGTCATCATTTTCACAGGTTTCATTTAGTTGATAACTAACTTCGTTGGCATATCTAGTTATGATTAATTAAATATTTAAATTAGCCAAGCATATAATAAAACTTCGTGGTAAATAGCTGTTTCGTTTTCTCCAACATATCGACTATATGTCTTCACGGAGACGGATGCACTGTTTTGGAAGCTTTTGAGAAATTTGTTGACGAATGACGACGACGGAGGTATAATACGTTTATGTTAAACTTGTATATATTAATTTCTCAATCACTTTGGATAACAGATCTAGGTAAGTGCTTCTGAGTTTTTTATTTTTTGTTTTTCGTTTTTACAGATTTAAATCGGTAGTAACGATGCATTTTGTGATCATGTGGATGAGGTTTTTGGATACCTATGACCTATTCTGTCCAAAAATGCTTCCAATCATTCTTAATACTCTCATCTTCAACGTTGGATAGACGATTATTGTCCATATGTTCACATGTACAAAGACACACTCATTTACACTCATTTTCATTGGAATGTTCTCATGTACATATGCACTCATTTATACTAAAACATGTAAAAAGTAACCACATGTTGTTAAAATGTCCAAACACAAGTATGTATATCCAGAAACGATATTACAATTGACCATCCAGTTATCAGCGAATAAATGGTCAACTACAAATGGATAATATACATAATATAATTCATCCGATGCTCTTTGTGATCATGTGGATGAGGTTTTTGGGATACCGATGACCTATTCTGTCCAAAAATGCTTCCAATCATTCTTAATACTCTCATCTTCAAAGTTGGATAGACGATTATTGTCGATAGGTTCACATGTACAGAGACACACTCATTTACACTCATTTTTATTGGAATGTTCTCATGTACATATGCACTCATTTATACTACAACATTTAAAAAGTAACCACGTGTTGTTAAAATGTCCAAACACAAGTATGTATATCTAGAAATGATATTACAATTGACCATCCAATTCTCAGCGAATAAATGGTCAACTACAAATGGATATTATATATAATACAATTCATGCAAAAATATAGTAAAATGCATCTTCAAATATAGGAAAAATAGAAATATTGAGTATTGTACAAAAATAAATATAAAATATTGTTATAATAACAAGATAAACTGATTATAAAAAGTAAGATAAAAATGAGAAAGAGAAAGAGGAAGAAAGTAAAAGAATCGGGAGAAGGAGGAAGAAAGTAAAAGAATCGGGAGAAGGAGGAAGAAAAAAAAGAGGAAGAGAACGTAAGTGTTTAGTTGTGTGGCATTTTAGTTGGGATGGCAAATGAGTTAATATATTGAAACAGTGAGGGTGGGAGAGTAAACAAACTTACCCAAAGTCCCTCATGACTTTATAAGTGTGTCATAGTGCAATTACACTTTTGAAAGTGTGTCTAGACGCAAAATGATGGAAAAGTACACTAGTAGCATAAAGTGTGTCAATGTGAAATAACTTTTACACAAAATAGGTCTACACGTAAATCACTCTTATAAAAATCATTTTTCATGTCAAAACAGACATATCCACTCGACAATGTCCACATATACTTAACTAGTTAAATTCTCTTGAGAACATGTAGAGATTAGAGTTACTTGATAACTTCAGATATGTTACAGTTATACCATATGGTTATAGTCTCGTGGACATCAACTTTCATGAATTGGTTTACAAATCATAACACACATGAATTGGTTCATTAGTTATTGAAAAAAAAAATTAAAATTTCAGTCAAAAACAGACATATCCACTTTGATGGATTTACTTGCTGTAAGCGAGGAATTGAATCAAGGACATATGAGAACATCTTTGATGCAATTACTTGCAGTAAGCAACCAAGATAGTGCGTGCTCTTCGTTTGGATTCAGCTTGGGAAGTGGTGAGGAAGACATTGACCTC